AAAACTTGGAGAAAATTGGCATGGATGTTGTTGCCGGGCTATTCCTGTCTCCCTGTGAAACATGAAGATATGCTTGCTTAGGCTTCAAAGAATAAGATAAGAGGGTGGCTGCATTCTTGTACCAGATGTACCAGGAACAGTTCGCTTGGGCAAATGGAGACTTGCTGTCTCCACTCCCTGTTCTGGTCTTCGTCTGTTCTTAACTCCCTCCTGTCCTTTAGTTACTGATGCATGATAACAAAGCTGATAAAAAGTTGCTGGGGCATCACAAATTGTTTGTAGTGTCAAAGAAGATAGATATGCATGAATATTAGAAGCTTTCTAACTAATAAAGGGGGGTTGGGTTGTTTTAACTATGATGCGACGGAACTGTCTATATAACCTTACTAGTTATTGTAATCGGGGCTGGTTCTCTCTGGAGACGGGCCGCTCTCTATTGTTGTGTGCACTCCTCAATAAAGAGCTTGTGTTTGGACCTTGCTGGTGTTGCCTGTCTCTCTGCGGTCAGACAACGAACCGTGCCGTCTGGGTTCGAGTCCCCGACTAATTTGGCAACTCCGCCGGGACTCGTCTGACTCTCCGGTGAGGGATCAGACTCCGAAGCAACGCAGCACGCATCCTCTGGCTTCGAGGAGCCTTGCCCGGTAACCTGAGCCCTGCATCAGCGATAAGGCGAGTCCTGTGAACCAGCTGAAGCCTGTAGAAACCCACAACATCCACCTACCCATTGAGTAGGACCCAGGTCTTCGGAGTTCGAGTCCCTGGATAAGGTAAGCGATTGCCAGGAAGGGGTTGGAGGCCCCGGAGAGGGGATAGAGGCCCCGGGATAGGGTTAGAGGCCCTACAGTCTAAATGGGACAATTTGGCAGTAAATGCCCGGGGGACGCCCGGTTGTCTCTGGTACTTAGAGATTGGAAGGAAATCTCTGGAACAACCGGTTTGACTAAATCTCAGATGAGAAATTTATGCCAAATTCAATGGCCTTCCTTTACTGCTCATTTGTCCCCGACTAAAGATTGGCCAAGCTGCGGAACCTTTTCTGCAGACAGGATGAATTCCTTGAGGGATATTTTGGTTGATCTTAGACCAGGACAAATGGATTATTTATTTGTGTGGTATAATTATAAGCCCAAGGAGGGACGTACAGCTTTTGAGGCCGTATGTGTAGATGATTCCCTTAAATGTCCCCTTCCTTATGTTCCGGACGCTCAGCCAGAAGAAGATGGGTATATCCCAATGAGAGCGCCACCAAGGCGGAGCCCAAGAATTGTAGCAGAGGGCGAAAGAACGGAGGGAAAAAGAGACGCCTGTGGAAGCAAATCCCTCTGAGTCAAAAAGGGATGCTCAAGGAGCGGGTCCTTCCCAACCCTTAGAAGAATTTTCTGGGACTTTCCTGCTTCCTTTTGGGTCCCCTGTAATTGCAAAAACAGTTCAAGCTCCTTTGTGAGCTTACCCCGTTTCCCTGAGCAATGGCAACATGCAGTGGTGTTTACTCATACACCTTTCACATCCACTGATTTATTAAATTGGCAGAAATCTATGCCGCGCCTTAGAGACAATCCAGAAGCGGTAGAGAGGACGTTTCGGACCATTTTTTCTATCCACTTACCAACCTGGGCAGATGTTAATCAGTTATTGGACATCCTCTTAACTGAGGATGAATGCCAGAAGGTTAAAGAAAGGGCTGCTGCATATTACTTGAGTCGCCAGGATTGGGGAGCTATGCCCACTACTGAGCCCCACTGGAATCCGAATGAGGATAGGGATAAGACAAAGGTAGATCACTACTGACAAGCTATTTTGCATGGGATAAGAGCGGCGGGAGAGGCTACCCCTAATTGGGGCAAGGTTACTGCATGTGTTCAATTTCCAAATGAACATCCCTCTGATTTCTGTACTCGATTAACCAACGAGGTTAGGAAGCACAGTAACCTGGATCTAGAATCAGAATCTGGAAAAGAAATGGTTACGCTGGTATTTATGGCACAGTGTGCAGAGGACATTGCAAAACGATTTAGGGAGCACCCGGATGGGATGCAAGGAAAAAGTTTACCCGACGTGGTTAGCATTGCAACACGGGTCTACAACGGTAGAGAGGAGAAAAGGGAAAAGGAAAGGAAGAGGGAAAAACAACAGGATATGAAGGATCAAATATCATTACTGGCAGTGGCCATGTCGGGGGATAAAGGGAGGGGTCGCGGCTGGGGCCGTGGCCCCAGAGGAAGGTTCCCTGGGAGAGGAAGAGGTGGATTCAGGGGAAGAATACGCAGGGTTGGGGTGAACCAGGACTGCGACGGGTGTTTTCATTGTGGTGAGGAAGGTCACTGGAAGAGAGAGTGTCCACACAGGCAAAATTCTGATTATAAGCCTCAAATGGTGGGTCAATTCTCTGCAGATCATGAATGAAGGGAGGCGCCGCTCCCTTGGGGCCCTGAGGTGTATGAAGCCGGAATGGTACAATTTAAATGCGATGCTCGATTTCCAGTGGTTCCCCTCAAAGTAGGACAAAAAACTTTTGAATTATTAGTGGATACGGGGGCCACTCATTCGGCTATACCTAAGGGAATGGCACCAAAGAATGAGGTAGAAAAATGTGTGGTAGGAGTCACTGGAAAACCTGAACGACATTTCATGTCCAAAAATTGTATGGCCACGTTAGGGCCCATATCTGTTAAGCATTCTTTTTTGTTAATGAATGGCCCAGTGAATCTATTGGGGAGAGACTAGTTGTGTAAATTGCATGCCCGAATTTCCTGCACTCCTAACTCGATTCCCGGTGGAGAAAGCTTACCTACTAATGCAGCTAGCCAACAGCAAAGGTGAAGCACTTCCCCTCCGAGTTGAAAATGAAGTGAACCCTATCGTGTGGGGGGGAAAGCATGATGTGGGTTTGGTAAAATCTGCCTCACCTCTAAGCCCCGTGGTAAAAAGCAATATGTCACCTCCTGCTCAGAGACAATATCCCCTGAAAATTGAGGCTATACAAGGACTTGAGCCTCTTGTGCAGGATTTTAAGAACCAAGGAATTTTAGTTCCCTGCTTCTCTCCTTGTAACACTCCTATTTTGGCTGTAAAAAAACCACAGCCCGACTCAGATGGAAAACCTGTATATAGAATGGTGCAGGATTTAAGACTCATCAATCAATATGTGATCCCAGAGCACCCTGTGGTACCGAACCCGAGTACTATTTTGACAATGGTGCCCCCTGAAGCGGAGTGGTTTACGTGTATGGATTTAGTGAATGCTTTCTTCTCTGGACCAGTGGCTCCAGAAAAGCAATACCTTTTTGCATTTACATGGGGGGTTCCTGGCACAGCAGGGAAAGGGGATAAAAGGTCTGGACCTCCGGGACAACTTACTTGGACAAGAATGCCTCAAGGTTATGTGGAGGCACCAAGTGTGTTTGCAAGGGTGTTAGTTGAGGATTTGAAGGATGTTCAGTTACCGGCTGCCTCTACCTTGGTAACATATGTTGACGACATCCTGGTGGCCTCCAGGACTCGGGAGGATAATGAGAGTGATTCTATTTACCTACTTAATCAGTTAGCACAAAAGGGGCATAAAGTCAGCCCCACTAAGTTGCAGTGGGCTAGGAAGGAAGTAAAATACCTTGGATACTCCCTGGGTCCCGGAATACGCAGTTTGGACTCCAAATGGATAGAAACCATAGTTAATATCTCCTTCCCCACTACTAAGTGAGGGATGCGGGGTTTTATCGGGATGATTGGATTCTGTCGCCCCTGGATTATTTCAGCCGGAGAATGGTTAAAACCTTTGCATGAACTAACAAAGGAGGAGGTTGAAGAGCCCCTACGCCCTAACTCTGAGCAAATAAGAGTCTTTAAGGCACTCAAAGAATCTCTCATTCGAGCTCCCGCGTCGGGACTGCCAAATTATAACAAGCCTTTTGATTTGTATGTGCATGAGGTGAAGGGAGTAGCGTCTGGAGTATTAACGCAATCGTTCGGAAATGCTCCTAGACCTGGACAGTTGAACCCAGGGGCAAAGGGGCACCCAGGCTGCCTAAGAAATGTGGCGGCAGCGGCGCTGCTAGTTGAAAAAGCCCAAGAAATTGTTTTAGGGCACTCTTTGACAGTACATACTCCGCACGCTGTAGCAAGCCTGTTAAATTCTCAACAGCATAAGCATCTGACTAACCAAAGGTTGTCTAAGTAAGTGACTCTGCTAATGACACACGGAGTTACATTAAAGAGGTGTGCAAATTTGAATCCAGCTTCTTTGTTACCTCATGAGGATGGTCAGAAAGTATTACATGATTGTTTGCAAGTTTTGGATCAGGTATCAATGCCCCGTCCTGATCTCACCGATGTCCCTCTATCCGATCCGGAACTGGAGTTGTTTGTGGATGCGTCTGCTTTTGTTCGGGATGGAGTTCGACCCTCCGGGTATGCAGTCACAGATGGACATGCAGTAATACTAGGAAAACCCTTATCACCTGGGACAAGCGCTCAGTCAGCCGAACTGCAAGCTTTAACAGCCGCTTGTTTAAATGCTAAAGGGAAAAGGGTTAATATTTACACTGATTCTAAATATGCTTTTGGGGTGTGCCATGCTACGGGAGCCATTTGGAAGGAAAGAGGATTTGTCACTTCTTCAGGGTCACAAATTGCTCATGGGGGAGGGATAGCTCAGTGGTTTGAGCATTGGCCTGCTAAACCTAGGGTTGTGAGTTCAAGCCTTGAGGGGGACACTTGGGGATCTGGGGCAAAATCAGTACTTGGTCCTGCTAGTGAAGGCAGGGAGCTGGACTTGATGACCTTTCAGGGTCCCTTCCAGTTCTAGGAGATGGGATATCTCCATTAATTAATTAAAAATGGTAAAGAAATAGCAGAATTGCTGCAGGCGATCCAAGCTCCTAAGGACATTGCAGTTATTCACTGCAGAGCTCATACTAAAAACAATGATCCTGTATCAGTAGGAAACCACTTTGCAGATGAGGCTGCTAAGGCAACTGCTTTGCAAAGTACTCAGTTAGATCTGAGCTCTCCTCTTCTAAACTGGCAATGGCAAGCCCCTGGTAGTGAGAAACTGATCTGGGAAAAATGGGGAGCTAAGCCCAATTCGACAGGGATATGGGAATGTGATGGTCATTTTGTTTTACCAAAAAGCCACCAGAGTGAAGTAATGGACCAAATACACAAAAACACGCATCTGGGGGCCAATAAAATGTCCCAAATTATTTTAAGACAGTTTATTTCCCCAGGACTCCATGAAGTAGCAAAAAGAACAGTAGAAAAGTGTGCTCTGTGTCAACAATGTAATCCAAAGGGTGTAAGTAAACGAGTACCGCCTGGGGGCCGTAGATGGGCTCATAGACCTATGCAGCATGTACAGATTGATTTTACTGATTTACCTCCCTCAGAAGGAAAAAAACATGTATTAGTCATAATAGATCAGCTTACAGGATGGGTGGAGGCATACCCCCACCGGCCGAGCCACTGCAACTACAGTTTGTAAAATACTGCTTAACGAAATAATACCCAGATTTGGCCCTCCTGAAGTAATCGACTCCGATCAAGGTACTCATTTTACAGCAAAGATTTGCAAGGAGCTTACTGAAGCGATAGGAACCAAATGGGTTTTTCACAGTCCCTGGCACCCTCAGAGCTCAGGCCAAGTGGAGCGTATGAACGGAACCTTGAAAAGCCTTTTGACCAAATTGTGCCGAGAACTCAACCTAAAGTGGACCAAAGTTCTTCCTCTTGCTCTTTATATCATTCAAACTACTCCAAATGCTAGAACTAGACTAGCACCCTATGAGATTCTGTTTGGACATGTACCTCCCACTTTTGCTCCTTTAGTATCAGTTCCAAACGATACTGATATAACTAAGAAAACATAAACCTATGTAAAAGAGTTGCAGTGTCATCTAGTGACATTACAACAGTACTCTGCCCATTCCCAAACCTTACCATTGTGGGAAGCTGTTCATTCTTTCTCACCAGGTGATCCCGTATGGGTAAAAGCATGTAAGAAGACTCCGCTTCAACCACAGTGGCTAGGACCCTTTGAAATCCTTCTGGTAAGCCCTACAGCAATCTGGGTGAAAGAGTTGCCCACTTGGGTTCACCACACTAGAGTCAAGAGGAGCACCGCTAGGGGACCTGACCAGGTAAAGGGTTCCCCAGAAGTAGACGACGTCGGACTTCGAGGGAGCCACGCACGTTCACCCCACCGTGAGCCGGGTGAACCAGAAACAGATGACACCTGTGCCCAAAATCAATGGACTGCTACCCCTTTGGGCGATCTGAAGCTTCGACTATAGCTGAAAAGGCCTTAAGTTGGTGGTGTTCTTTTTCCAAAGGATGGCCCCGAGTTTTGGCCTGGGTTCTTATATGTTTAATTTGTTTATTATTTGTTGCCTTTCTCTTTTGGTAGTACGGAATGTAGGGGGTGGGGAAGCGCACAAACCTAACACCTTCATACGCCTTGCTCATGAGATGAAAGCCCGCATGCCAGCATTACATAATACATCATGCTGGGTGTGTTCCTTGATACCAAAAGATAGTCAAAAGGGTCTCCCCATGGTCCCTATTCCCCTTAGTGCAATGAATATGACTTGGACCCCATCATGGAAAGACCCCTCTGGTAATCTAAATGTAACTTGGGCTGACACTGGCATCTCAGACAGCAGATATCTCATAGTATGGAAAAGAATTGGTCAGTGGTGCCTCTTAAAAGAAGGGAAAGTAGCAGTAGGAAACAGTGAATGTAAGGCCTACTTTAATGGCACTCATTTCGGAAGCAAGAGAGGACCTAACATCTCCCTTCTGGATGGAGCAACTCATTGCACATCCGCATGGCACAGTTTTCCTGACAAAAAGTGTAGTATACATGGGGAACATCACTTTTTATATGAAGGGCACAAACTGATTGAACATTATGTTATTAACTGCACGGTTGAATATAGCCTACTAAATCATACCATGTGTTTATGTTTTACAAACGCCTCAGCAGCTCGATTTTCTCTTCTCCCATCTTGGACAGGATGGTACAAGATAAACGATAATGCCTTCTCTAAGGTGTTTCCTACCCTTTTTGGGGTATACTGGGTATGTGGTAACAAGGCATATTTAGCTCTTCCTTCTTCATGGAGTGGGTCCTGTTATTTGGCCTGGTTAGAACCACCTGTAGTATATCGAGCTCACCTCCCACAGGGAAAGATCAGGAATGTAAGGGGGGCTGAGGAAGATGTTAAAGAATCTCGCCCCCTCACCTGGCAAGCTCTAAATGACTGGACAGGTGCTTGTGCAGGCTTTGTCTTCGCTTGTGGGGGAGCAACTTGGCGAATAGGAGAAGGGGTAATGAGGCTCCAAGGGGTCTTGGAGATAATGGCAAATACCACCGCCGATGCCTTGGTGGATTTGGCAGCTGAACAGCGAGAACTAAGGCAGATGGTTCTCCAGAACCACTTGGCTCTAGATATCTTACTGGCCTCTCAGGGAGGAACATGTGCACTAATTGGGCAAGAATGCTGCGTATATGTTCCTGATGTTTATAACGCCACCTGGGACAGAGCAAACCACCTCATACAAGTAGCAGAGGACCATGGAGGGGAGCGGGTTGAATCTTGGTGGAGTAACCTGTTTGATTGGATTCCATACATAGGTGGTTGGCTCCATAATGTACTCCGAAGCGCAGTTGTAATTATATGTGGCCTGGTAGTTTTGTATGTTATAGTAAAGGTTGGATGTTGGATGGGCACCAAAGTGTGTTCCGTCCAAAAGTAACCAACCTCAAGCTTACCACTCATGGTAGTTAGTTGTCCCAGGAGTCCCTTTATGATACTTCAGGGACAAAGGGGGGACTGCTAGGCCCAAGAAAATGGAATATAGAACAGGTTGTTTGGCCAGCTTAGCCAAAGATAGGCTAACCGTAGTTGCTGGGTCATTCCTG